TCATCGATCAGCTGCCTCTTGCACACCCCCTACTGGGGATATGCCCGCAACCAAAAAAAGCTTTTTATTTTGATGTAGTCCCATTTGTTTATTTTCTCTTTAGCTTCCATTGCCTCAGGGGCAGTATCAGTGAAGAAGTTCTTTTGGCTTATGTCTGAGATTTTGCTGCCTGTGGATGCCTCTACTATTTTTATGGTTTCCCATCTTATGTTTAAGTCCTGTATCCATTTTGAGTTTATTTTTGTGTATGGTATAAGTTGGTGATCTAGTTTCATTCTTTTGCATGTATCTGTCCAATTTTCCCAACACCATTTATTGAAGACTGTCTTGACTCCATTGTATGTTCGTGCCTCCTTTGTCAAATATTAATTGAGCATAGTGATTTGGGTTGATATCTGGATTCTCTATTCTATTCCATTGATCTATATGTCTGTTCTTGTGCCAGAACCAGGCTGTTTTGAGAACAGTGGCTTTGTAATACAGCTTGAAATCTGGTATTGAGATCCCTCCTACTTTACTCTTCTTTCTCAGGATTGTTGTGGCTATTCGGGGTCTTTTTTTGTTCCAGATGAATTTTTGGAGAGTTATTTCTAGGTCAGTGAAATATGCCAATGGTATTTTAATGGGGAGTGCATTGAACCTATAAATTGCTTTGGGAAGTATGGACATTTTGATGAGGCAGGTATTTTTATCCTTGAGGCATGTATTTTTATCCTTGTGTTACAGATTCAGAAACTGAAGGTTAGAGAGGTTAAGTGCCCAAGATCACAAAAGCTAATTATGCCAGAACAGAGCTTCAAGTCTTCAGTGGACTGAGTCAAGAGCTCAGGAAAGAACCCACTCCATCAGAAAAGGCAATCCCAAATATCGCTTGGATCCCGGGTTAGACCCTTGGAGATTTGCCATCAAATTGAAGCACTGCCCAGAAGAGGCTTCTGGCAGGGAATTCGGGAAATCTGTCTTATTGCTGCTTGTTCTGAACCTGATTAGCTGTGGGACTTCGATAATACAACCTCCGTTTCCATAATTGAAGTTAAGAATAGAGTCTGAAGAGTTCTGGGAGAGGACCGTGATGACCTGGGGAAAGAAGCAGTGAGAGGCCCTTCCGAGAGAACGGAGGTTCTGTGCTCCCCGGAGAATGAATGATGGGAAACACTGTTGGAACGAGGAGAAGAGGGAATGTTAAGTTAGTGTAGACATTGTCAGATGGGTATAAGTTTCCTCTTCAGACATCCTATTACAGTCCTTGATAAGCCATCATTTCTAGCAGAAAGAGGGTGACTCCAAGCCGCGTTCCCCTGCCTGTGAGCCGTTTGCAGGCAATTAGACAGGCATGAGCAGAACTAGGACGCCAGGTACTTCTAGAAGGTCACCTGGGTGAAAAGCCCCAGGTGCCTAGCAACAGGCAAAACTGGGAAAACAAGGACCTGGTCCCCAGGGTAACCTTTCCTCCCCCAGCCTATTACTAGTCATTTGGTTTAGACCCCCTGACCTTTCTTCATCTGGCTGGTCACTATCCAGACATGTGGATAGTCACTCAGTAGACCACCTTAGAGTACACACAGGCATCCAAGAGTTGCCTCTTGTGATTCCATAAGGGCCCTTGCACAACCATTCCCTTAAGCATTACCTCTAGGGATAACATCTAGGCCTAAATTGCTGCTTCAGGCCCAGAAAAGCAGCAAAACCAGACAAACGATGCCATGGCACCTACCAATCAGTACAGACCACGGCCCTGAAAGGACACACCTGGAACGCTGATGAATATTCTATTGAGAGCCGCCCCTGGTGCCTCCCGCTAAGTCTCTGCCCTTCAAAGCCCTTAGGACAGAGCTCTCTCTCTGGAACATGCCCCACCCCTTTCCCCAGCCCTTCCCCGGGTGCGTTCTCCTTGCCTCTTTCTTTCTCCTAAGCTCCAAGGGTCCTTCCTTTGCCTCTGTAACTTGTTTCCTAGACCCATTTCTCCTACCGCCCACTGCTGCCTCTGTGACTTTCTAAATAAACTTTCTCTTACAGATTGAGTTCTGACTCTGAATTCTGTTAGCACTGAGGTTACTGAACCCAGGTCCTGTCTGACTCCACTGGTCTCACACCTGGTGCAGTTTTTGCCGCCCACAGGTCTGACCCCACTAGGGGTGCTTAAACGTGGCTGCCTGTTGAGATCCCCAGGGGAGTTTCCACATGCCCAGGCCAGGCTCCATTCCCAGAGACCCTCCCTAAGGCACTGGGGCTATGGCTGAGACATTGGGGATGTTAAGAGTCTCCCCCCCACCACCACCCCCATGATTTAAAAAAAATATATATTTTATTGATTTTTTTTCAGAGAGGAAGGGAGAGGGATAGAGAGTTAGAAACATCGATCAGCTGCACCCCCTCCCACCCCCCACCACTGGTGATGTGGCCGCAACCAAGGTACATGCACTTGACCGGGATCAAACCTGGGACCTCTCAGTCCGCAGGCCAATGCTCTATCCACTGAGCCAAACCGGTTTCGGCCACACCATGACTTTTAATATGCAACCCAAGTTGAGAACCACTGCCCAGAACTTTAAATTCTTCATTTTGAGTCTAAAGATGAAAAAAAAGTGGTGGCACTCTGTGGCTCTCAAACTTTAATGTGCAAACGAACGCATCACCTGGAGATCTTACAAAATGCAGTCTTTAGTTCAGGACATCATGGGTGGGCCTGGACATTGGCCCTTTAAGAGGCTCCCAGGGGTTGTCCACACTGCTGACTCCTGGCTGCACGTGAGTAGCCAGGCTGCCGTTTGAACAGACCTGTAGGAGAAATGTGGCTCTTCAGGCCAGCTGGGCCCTTAGGAAGAAGTTACTTCACTTCTGTGAGTCTCGGTTTTCTGACCAATTTAAAATGCAGGCAAGCAAGAATAACCGCATTACAGAATTCTTGTGACGCTTAAACGCATACTATAGTAACCATGTTTAGCACAATACAACAAAGATGAGCTGTCCAGTTGTTAGAATAGCCTACACTCACGAAATGCTTACTTACCATCTGCCAGGAACTTTCAAAGTGCTTTGTGTCCTAACTCATTGCAGCCTCAAAACAACCCTGAGGCGGGTACTATTATTTCATCATCCCCATTTGGGGAGACAGGTGGAGTGCCTCAATCTGCCTTAGGTACCTAGGAGCTAAGCTGGTGTTTGAACCTGGGGAGGCTGTGGGCTCTGATTCCGCCCCGGCCTTACATGGATTCATAGAAAAGGCCCTTGGATCCCGTGACCACGAAGGACGATCTATGCTCTGGACCGGGCTGGGGCCAGCAGGGGGCAGCCCAGGGTTACGCAGGAGGCTGTGCATTTTCCCTCACAACAGAAACCCCTGCATAAGAGGTTCAAATAGGGGCTTCCCCAGATGAGACTCCGAGCGCCCCGAAAAGCAACTGGCAACGTGAGTTTTCTGCAGTCCCCTTTCACCCAGAAGCGCAACCCGACCGCGAAAGCTACGCATCTCTCTCTCTCTGTGCCGGAGCTCGGGAAGGGCCGAGGGGCGGGGCCCAGCGGGGAAAAGTTGGGAAATCCTCCTGGGGTTCCCCTGAGCGCTCCGGAGGCGCTGGCCCCGGGTGCGCGCTGGAGGTGCGGACCGGCGCGCGGAAGCTCCGTTTGCAGGGAGACCTCGGAGAGGCGGACGGCGTTCTCTCTCTGGTCCTCGGGGAGAGGAGGGCAAGTGACTCTTGGGGGGTGTAGGGGTGAACCCGGCGGTTTCCATGGCGCCCGGGGCGTGGGGGAGGAAGACACCCAGCAAACTATGGCGAAACAACTGGCCTGCGAGGCTGGAGAAGGCAGGAGCTGGGGATGGGGGAGAGGCGGGGTGGAAGGGGGGGCCAGCCTGGCGGGACGGGGGCGGGGCAGTCACGTGCGCCCGAGGGGCGAGGCCCCAGCGGGCCGGGAGCGAACGGAGTCCGGGAGTCGGCTGCGCCCGGAGCTCAGTGTCTCCTGGACCCAAGGGGCTGGACGCGGGCAGGACGCCTTAGAAGGACTCCCGGCACCGGCCTGGGGAACAGCGGCCCGGACAGCGCCTCCCCTCTCTCCCCCCGGAAAAGTGGGGGCCGAAGTTTGGAGGTGGCTTTGACGCAGGACTGGACCTCCGTTTCGTCTGGGGGCGGACCAGGGCCACCGCCTCGCCCGCTGAGGCCACTGCCCCGTGAAACTGCCGGAGCTCTGAGCGCCTGCCCGGGGCTCCAGGAGAGGCCGAGGTCATGGTGAATGAAGATCCCAACCTGGAGGAGAGCAATGTCACCCCCGAGCAGCAGTCCGCGCCGCTGGCGGTGGACCCCGACATTCCTGCCCCACCTGCCATCCCCACTGACTCCAGCATCTCGGCTCATCCCAGCGTCTCGGTTCATCCCAACGCCTCAGCTCATCCCAGCATCTCTGCGCATCCTAATATTTCGGTTCATCCTAGTATCTCGGCCCATCCTAGCGTCTCCTTCCACCCCAGTGTCTCTGCGAACCCCAGCAGTTCAGCCTTCCCCAGCTCCATGGCCTACGCCGGGGACTTGACCCAGACCAGTAGCTTGGGCCGCGGGGAGGACCTCAGTTTGATCAAGGTGAGCAGGCGCCGCTGGGCGGTGGTCCTGGTGTTTAGCTGTTACTCCATGTGCAACGCCTTCCAGTGGATCCAGTACGGCGCCATCAACAACATCTTCACCTCCTTCTACGACGTCAGCACCTTCGCCATCGACTGGCTGTCCATGATCTACATGCTGACCTACATCCCGCTGCTGCTGCCCGTGGCCTGGCTGCTGGAGAAGTATGGCCTGCGCACCATCGCCCTCACGGGCTCTGCCCTCAACTGCCTGGGGGCCTGGGTGAAGTTGGGGAGCCTGAAGCCGCACCTCTTCCCAGTCACCATGCTGGGCCAGGTCATCTGCTCCGTGGCCCAGGTCTTCATCCTGGGCATGCCCTCCCGCATCGCGTCCGTCTGGTTTGGGGCCAATGAAGTCTCCACGGCCTGCTCCATCGCCGTCTTCGGCAATCAGGTGGGTAGGAGAGGTGGTGGGTGTTCAGAGGAATGGCCAAGACTCCATCACTGCGGGTCGGAGTGTGTTAGATTGTATCTGACCGTCCTGAACTGTGTGTGGGAGACTGTCATTTTCTGACTTGAGCTGAGTTGGTGACTCCGGGTGCCTGTATGGTTTTGTATGATGGATGGTGTTGATTAGGACTGGGTGGCTGTGTAAGAGAGGTGTGTGTGTGGGGGGGGGGGGCAGAGGAGATAAAAGGAGGGGACCTTTTCTTTCACCCACCATTTCTCCTCCCCCAGCAGAAAGCATGCTTTGAAAAAACAGGATGTTTTATGAGTTCATTCCTAACCTGTTAGTCCACCAGCCTAGACCTTTGGCTTCAGGAAAGCTGTCCTTCCTCAGGGAACAGCTCCGGGGCTGGCACCCTCAGAATGTACAGGTGTCTTTAGCCGGAGCAGCCAGCTTTCCCAGAGTGCACGCTCTCCTGTGCTGCCTAGTACCGCCGAGCGGGGCCCGGTGGCGTTCGGCACGGTTCTTACCTTCTTTTGTACACAGCTAAAGTCAGGGCAGTGGGAACAATGCTTTGTGCCAAACGCCTTCCCTCGGGTTGAGAGCCAAGTTCAGCGGGATGGAGTAGACATCTCCCTCTGAATTCCCAAAGACGAAAACCCTCGGAAAGGCCTGGACAGCTCATTTCTGAATCTCTTCTCTTTCCCTTTTGGAAGGAGCATATACAATTCTCTGCCTCTCCGTGTGGTTGGAGGAAGTTGAGCGAGTTATGCATCTGATTGTCTTCTCCAGGTATTTGAAGCAGATCAGACCTGGGGCTCTTCTTTATCTGAAGCACCGCCCCCTGGTCCCGCTGGTCCCTAAGCAGGCTCAGCGTGGCAGTGTGTTTCAAAAGGACCAGTAACCCTTCGATCCTGTGGGCCTGTTTTCTCTTACCTGTTGTTGCATTTAGAAATTTTAATCTGCCATTTAGAAATTTCTCATTTGGGTCAGAAATGTTCAAAATTGCTCTGTAGGCCAATTTCCGCCTTGTTCCTCCTCTTCATCACCAGGAAGTTGACTTGAACTAAGTTTTCCCAAGCCAGTAAGCCCTGCCACGTGGCAATAGTGTAAGCAATGAATGAAAACAAACAGAAAGGGCTTCTTTAGCACACAAACAGGCAACATGAAATCTCTTACCTAGCTTTCCCTCTCCCTCCCCTCCCCACCTGTGGGTTTGACCATTCTGAAGACTGAATTGATTTGAGGTCTGGGGTGAAACGAGGGATTTTGTTCAGGGCAACTAAAAATAGATGTTAAAGGTGACGTTGACCAACCCCCTAATTCTCTAAGCCAGTGTTTCCCAAACTTCTCTCATGGTGAGAATCACCTGGTGAAGTTGTTAAACTACAGATTCCTGAATCCCAACTAAGAAGTGCTAAACTAGAATTTTTGGGAACATATAGGTAAAATTGTATACTTAACTAGTGCTCTAAGCTTCTCATCATGAGAGAAGTTTGGGAAACACTGCTCTAAAGTGATGTGACTGGATTTTCACTTCCCCATCGCAGCCCTGCTGGTGGGTTGGATATTTTTGGATTTTTGCTTTCTAAGGAGGTAAAGCAGTGGGTGGGGGTGAAGGGCAGGACCTTCAAGCTTCCAGAGAGAGATATCTCCTTATTTGCAGGGTCTCTTCTTTATCTGAAGCACCACCCCCTGGTCCCACTGGGTAAGAGATTTCATGTTGTCTGTGTGCTAAAGAAGCCCTCTCTGTTTGTTTTCATTGATTGCTTACACTATTGCCCACGTGGCAGGGCTTATTGGCTTGGGAAAACGTAGCTCAAGTCAACTTCCTGGTGATGAAGAGGAGGAGCAGGGTGGAAATTGGCCTACAGAACAGGATACAGAAAGGGTCGCTGCAAATCCCAAACCTTTCATTTGGGGAGGGCAGAGCTAACTGGGAGGAACCCGCAGGTGGCCTGGTGAGTTCAGAGAGTCCAGCTCTTGTTTTGTTAACCATTAAGAGTAAACGTTTCCCAAGTTTAGCGGGATGGAGTAGAAATCTCTTTCCTTTTTGGAAGGAGCATATAAAATTCTTTGCTCCAGAGGTGCCTCTCTGAGGGAGCGTGTAGCTTCATACCACAGTGAGGGCCAAAAAGTGGCTCAATGGATAGAGCGCCGGCCTGCAGTCTGAAAGGTCCCAGGTTCGATTCTAGTCAAGGGCATGTACCTTGGTTGTGGGCACATACCCAGTAGGAGGTGTGTAGGAGGCAGCTGATGGATGTTTCTGAATATCCCTCTCCTTTTCTCTCTGTAAAAAATCAATAAAAAATATATATTTTTAAAAAAGTGATGGTGCAACCCATCAACCTCATCTTGCAGAATAGATCTTGGATTCAGGTGTGACTTTATGAACCCGTGAATATGCGGGCAGAGGCTGTTTTATTGATTTTGATGAGTATTAGATGATGCAGAAGAGATTCATTGAGAAAACAACTAGGTCGGATCATGCTGAAAGGAGGTAATATTACTCTGCTCCAACGTGTCTCTATCTAGAAATGACTAACGGAGTGAGAAATTCTTAGAAGCAATACAGTTTGTATTTTTTAGGTGCCCTTTGTTGGGAGAATAGTTCTTAAACATTTATTCATGTTGGCTTATAATACCCTTTCATTACTACCAGATGACAATAAATGATGTTGAATTGTTTTTGTTTAAAAAAAAAAAAAGGAGAGAGAGAGAGAGAGAGAGAGAGAGAGAGAGAGAGAGAGAGAGAGAGAGAGAGAGAGAGAGAGAGAGAGAGAGAGAAAGAGAGTAATAGGTTTTCAGACCCTTTCTGACACACCTATACCTGTGAGGGAACTTATCTTTAAAATTTAATAACAATAGTTATGTATTCATCACCCCTGCTCCCCTCCAAGGCCAGGAAATGCTAAGACGTTTACATTTAAAACTCTGACAGGATACATTTGTGTCACAGAGCCATCTTTTTAGTTTGACATTTTTAAGCTCAACCCACTGTGCTAAGTTAAAAAAAATTCTGAAAACACGGAATTGTTTATACTTCCTCTCATAGAGATAAATCATATTTGGTTCTCATTGTGTGTTTTAATGTACTTTCTGAGTGAAGCATGACTGAGTGGAGGGGAAATATTAGCAGAGCACCTTGAGCTTTGCTGGAAAAAGGCTCCACCAGCTGTTAAACAGATTTTCAGTGTCACTCCGCCCAATCATTCTTCATGGCCTGCGGACTTCACACTGGCCAGCAGAACCCCTGCACCCTGGTCGTTCTGACCTCTCTCTTCAGTGCTTCTTAGAGCTCCACGCAGGCATCAGCCCTGCTTGCATTCAATCCAACATTCATTCATTCATTCATTCATTCATTCAACAAGCTTTTACCTGGGTGGGGGAGGGAGAGAATTTCTTCTCTCCTTCTAGGTTCTTTCAACTGGCCTAATAATTAAATCAATACAAGACAGACGAACAAGAGAAAATAACCACATTTAAGTACACATGTACATATGGGAACCCCACATATGTAAAAGAGTCAGGGATCCCACATACCTGAGAGGTTCAGAGACAGAAAACTCAGATGGGGTTGTATGACATCCCAAGCCCAGGAGCTGAGGTGAGGGGAGGGAAGGAGGCCCCCAGTGCAGCTGAGGCTCTTCCGGTTCCCTCTGGCCAGTTGAACAAGTGGTAACAGACTGGCAATTTTTTTTTTTTCCAGCAACACTTGTTCCATTGTTTCCAGAGAAAGGGATCTGTGCGTGGTTTTGAGTGATGTGGACACATTGTTGTTGTGCATGGGTTAGAAGAAAGCCTGCGTTGGAGTCTAGGGGTAACGTGGTGTTCAAGGACCAGGGAGATGTAGGCGATGAAAGAAATCTTCAAGTGAGCGCCAGCCCCCCTGAGGAGCCTGCAGCACCCAGAAAGGGAAGGGCCTTCTCCAGGACTCTTGGGCTGCTCAGAGCACAGCACCCAATAAGAGAGGAGGAAGCCCTGACCGGTTTGGCTCATGGATAGAGCGTAGGCCTGCGGGCTGAAGGGTCCCAGGTTCAATTCCAGTCAAGGGCATGTACCTTGGTTGCAGGCACATCCCCAGTGGGAGTTGTGTAGGAGGCGGGTCATTGATGTTTCTCTCTTATTGAAGTTTCTAACTCTCTATCCCTCTCTCTTCCTCTCTGTAAAAAATCAATAAAATAAATATATTTTTAAAAAAGAGAGAGAGAGAAGAGGAAACGTTCAGTTTGGCTTCCATGTAAGGAAAAAAACAGTTACCTTATAAAATCAGTTCTGTGGAAGCCACGGCTGGCTGGGCTGTGGGAGACAGCTCTTTCCCACAGAGATCTAATGCAAGCCACCAATGCGAGCCACATGTATAACTGAATCTTCTCTTAGCCACATTAAAAATCTATAAAATGTAAATTTAAAAAAAGTTTAAACAGGTGAAATTAGTTTTAGTACATTTTATTTAAGCCAATATATCCAAAGTATTATTTCAACACCGTCAATATAATATTACTAACAAGCTATTTTACATTCTTTTTGCATATTGGGTCTTTAGAAATTGGCCTGTTTTTTATACCTCCAGACAAATGATGGGCTTGCGTTCAGTAGCCAGGCTGGAGCCTACAGACCTGGAACACTGATGCCATTTGTAGGGAGGAAAAACTTGGCCTTGACCTTCTTAAGGTTTCTGGCTGGGCCTAAAAATTAAAAGCATATTAACAGAAAATCATCCACATTTACTTATTTAATGTGTTATGTAACAGAGGAGCCTTCATAAGAAAATGAAGAACAGTTAGACTTGAGTATTTTTAAAAATATATTTTCATCGATTTTTAGCGCGAGAGGAAGGGAGAGGGAGAGAAAGAAACATGAGGATTGAACCTAAAACCCAGGCATTGTGCCCTGTCTGGGAATCGAACTGGCCACCTTGTGGCATCCAGGATGATGCCCAATTGTCCCAACTAGATTCCGGGAAAGGATCTGGGGTGTTTATCTAAGCCTTAAGGTAGGGGTGT